CTCCACCATGAGAGCAGGGCACAGGCTGCTAATCCCTGGCTTTTGTCCCAAGGCAAGGCACGCTCCTTTCCCCCATGCCACAGCACCCCCAGCTCTGCAGAGAGGGGTGTCTGGAGCACACCCTGTGCCCAGCAGCACCTCTGAGCAAACGGGCAATGAACGGCCCAGCAGCAGCAAAGTGAAGGCAGAGAGGGGCCCATTGCCCCAGATTGTGTCAGATCAGCTGCTGGGGAAAGGGGGAAGGTGAGGGTGGTTGAATCCATCTCTGGCCCTGGCCTGACCCCGAACTGGGGCTTGTAACCAGCTGCTGTTGGGCCAGCAGCCGTGAGCTAGATTGAGGCAACACGTGCAAACATAAGGAAGCGAGAATTGCTCCATTTTCCTCTCCCTTGAGTGAGTCGACCCATTTCCTTTATTTTTGCAGAGAAATAGCCCAATCCTCCAAAACAACGAAGTATCTCCAACCACAGCTTCCCTTTTGACCTAAATAATCAGCTCCCTTATTGGAACCTGCTTTTGGATGGGTGAAAAGCTGCAGCCCCTGCACCACAACAGATGGTTACCCCTGGGCCAGGGAGAGGCTCCCGGCCCTGGTGAAGGGCTCAGAGAACCAGGGGCTCAGTGATCAGAGCTACAAGAACAACAATCTCCCGTGGTCTCCCATTTTCTTTCCTGCCTAGGGCAAGGAGCCAAGGCCCCCACAGCCTATGGATGTGACGGTGTTCACACCACAAGGACATAGGTCCACCACGACTTCCAAACAGCCACTAACACACCACAGCCAGCCTGGCCACCCAGGAGAGGCCTGGGGCCACCACTGCTCACTGCCAGCCACCTCTGCAGCATCACGAGAGCTCCAGGTGCTCTTATGGCTGAGGGAGCAAGTGTGCTTGGGCCTTGCACATAGAAAAATGCAGATATAGTGCAACAGCAAAAGAAAACTAACCTGCTGAAAATGGGAGGAAAAAAAATCACCAGTCATCAAGAACCAAGATGTTTTTTTCACACTGGACTTGGCCCTGTAAGGCACATTATCTGCCCTGCTACAGCAGCAAAAATATCTGGCAATGAAGAATTTACTGATTTGCTAATTACAGATGGCAGGGGCTGAACTGCAGCAGGAAGCAGAGAACAGACATTACAGCAGGCATTACAGGAACAGCCAATCTGAAGAGCACTACAGCCCTTTCAACAGATCCAGTTTTACAGCATGTAACTGAAAATAAGTTCCATTTCCAACAAACATGTGAAGGCCCGTTAGTGTGGCAGAATCAAGACTGTGATTTTAGTGTGGCTGTCTAGGGTAATTCACTTGAGGGCAAACACAAAATCAACACCATCCACAGCATATTTAATGCAGTCTGCTTTTAAGCATGAATTGCACAAAGTGGAACTAATCTAATCACCCTCAGATATCACATTTCCCTATTATTCCAGGTACACTTTGGTATGAGCACAGCTGGTTTGAAATGCTGTGGCAGAGATGCCACACCCCACTCCTGGATCCCTGTGTAGACCCCATCTGCAGTCCCTTAAATGTTGCTCAGCCTTTCTGTGCATCCCACACTCAGAGAAGCAGCTGAACCCACAAATGGGCAGGAATCCCACATCCACTCCTTGCTCTTGGTCTTCTCAGTAACCCAAACTGCAGGCCAGGGTTTGACCATCTCCCTGTGTACCTATCACAGAGGTCCTGTGCTTAATGGAGACAAGCATTTCACTATTAAATGAATAATTCATATTTGAAATTACCTAAGAACTTGGTTCATATTTAGTCTGTTCAGCCCTTAAAGAACAATTCTGAAAGCATTAAAACTATAGTAAATGCACCCTTTTTACATTAATTAATGAGTACCTGAGAATAATTTTTTTGCTTAAAGAAAAAACATAGCCTTCAAGTATTTCTGGACTAAAAAGGTAAAAAATACTAATTTTTGAGTCATGATTCCTAGTAATGCCATGTTGATCAATTTATTTTTCACAAGGTGCACTCTAAAAAACTGAGTCCCTTGGAAGGGTTTTTCACAGTCAGTGAACACATCTGGCTACACCTGCTTCCTCCTAAAGGTGCTTCTCCAGGCTGAATCACACCACACAAGGGCTCATCCCACACACAAAGGTCAGCTCATATGCAGCAACCACAGCACTGAGTGCAGGCCATGTATGGTAAAACTGCTTTTCCTTTTTTTGGCCAATTATAAAAACTAAAGCCAAATGTTTCAAAGAACGGGAGGAAAACACCAAACAAAAGCCCCACTGTGGCTATCAGAAGTACCACTTCTGTCCTTCAGAATGGCACTGTCATCCTGCTGGATGACACAGAACTGTCTCTGGCCTCTGCATCGTGACCATCAACTCTCTGGCAGCTAAAAAACAGATCTGATCCCTTCCCTCTGCCAGCTGCAGAACAGGGCAAGCCCAAAAACTGCAGAAGAAAAGCCTGAGCAAAAGCAGCAAGGCAAATCCCATTCTGCAAAGTGTAAGGAGTGAAGGAGGAAATGGGGTCCTCTTAAGGAATGCTGGTTTTAACAAGATCACGAAGTTAGTCAAACTTGTGAACTGCATCAGTTTAAATTCAGGTTAAAGAGAACCTCTCTAAAACTCTGTGTTACACCTCAGTATACACATGGTTGTGTCTCCTCTTCTGCAAACCACAAACTCAAACAAGGTTGACAAGCCAGAGCCAAGTCCAGTTCAACCTTTTAGAAAGGCTTACCCCACTTAAGAAACAGACATAGCTGCACAGAAACGAATTTAAATGCACGGCTC